CAAGAGGGATCTCCTGGGAAGGGAAGGGGGGTTTTCCCAAGGTCAATGTTGATGGCAAGAACACCATGCCAAGAACCAGTTAGTTGGACTGTGTCACTACAAACATCGCTTGTCTTCCTATGTGAAAATAATAGAGGACAGGGTTAGTTGGAATAACTTTCAGGATGAGCCAAGTATCCCCATGGTGATTACCTGAGATATGACTGGCAGAATTCAGATCCCAGGTAATGCCCCACCACATTTATTCCTTTTGTTTGTTTGTTGTTTCTTTCGAGACAGGGTTTCCTCTGTGTAGTTTTGGTGCCTGTCCTGGAACTCACTCTGTAGACCTGGCTGGCCTTGAACTCACAGAGATCTGTCTGCCTCTGCCTCCCAAGTGCTGAGAATAAATCAATGTGTGCACCACCACCGCCTGGCTCTCACACTTGTTCTTTGTAACTCTATCTTAAAACCTACCCACATGGCCCTGGGATGACAAATGGAGTATGGTCAAGGGTCTGGGTGTAGCAAGCTTTCTTGCCAGACTGTCTTTGGACCACCAGTCTGCAAATAATGACCTAGAGACTAATTAATTATGAAAGCTCAGCCTTAGCTTAGGCTTGTTCCTAACTGGTTCTTATAACTTAAATTAACTCATATCTATTAATCTACGTTCTGTTTCGTGGCTCGGTTACCTTTACTCTCTCCATACTTCCCATCCTGCTTCCTTTGTGTCTGGCTCTCAACCAGTGATTCTTCCTCCCAGTGTTCTCTTTCTGCCCGCAAGTTCCACCTATCTCTCCTGCTAGCTATTGGCCATTTCACTCTTTATTACACCAATCACAACAATACATCTCCACAGTGTACAAAGAGCCCTCAACACCCGGGACCCATTTTGTCCCTGTGATGAGACCCTCGTTGTGGAGAGGCTGCTTGACCAGTGGTACTGCTCTGGGATTGGCTCACCTCCTCACCTCCAATTTTGAGGAAGCTTGTCATTCACTGCCCTCTGGAGTGGTTGTGAGTATGTGGCAAGCATCTCTTCTTTCAAAGTGGAACATCTTTCCAGATTGACAAGCCCCACTTCAGATACTACAGGCTGCTGCAGAACTTGTAAACAGATTCTCTTACATTCAAGAAATTCCTTAAAGGAGAAGCTGTTAGCCAGAGCTGAGACACATGTTGGAAGTGATGCTTGTATCATATGCTGTTGGCCACTGGATGCCCTATTAACTGCATATTCAATGAAAGGCACCCTTTCTTACTGGATGAGGCTCATTCTCTCTAACCTTCCTTTAAGAATAGGGCTCCTGCCGGGCGTTGGTGGCGCACGCCTTTAATCCCAGCACTCGGGAGGCGGAGGCAGGCGGATCTCTATGAGTTCGAGGCCAGCCTGGGCTACCAAGTGAGCTCCAGGAAAGG